CTCCACTTTAAGGGGTTAAAACTTCATTACTTGTTTAAAGCCTACATTGTGCTCACATTTTTTTTTCATGAGTGAAAAGTTTACTGATATTAAGACAGGAAGTAATTAGTACAGAAAAAGTAACACACTTTTAAGAACATTTTGCTCAGCTCACTGTTTTATTTTCAAGTGTCAAAAGTTCATTAAAGATAGGACTGGTTGATTAATCACAGCCTTTACAGTAAATAATCTACTATAAACAGTAATATACACATTTAAGTACACTTTGCTCAGTGTATTTTTTATGTGTCAAATGTTTATTGAAAGGAATGATTGATTTATCAGTGTTTACAAGAAACAATGTGTTCAGAAAAGTTATACAAACTGTCAAGCACATTATGCTCTGTTTGGTTTTCTTAATGACTTTGTTCTGTACTGGAGCCTACTACTGTTATCTATTGAATCAAAGCATATTAAAATGTGCTTGAACAATTTTATCATTTCTTAATACTGTTTGTACTGGAAGAGAGAATGGGAGGGGGTCGTCAAAAATTTTACTGGTAAAAAAAAAGGGGGTCCCTTGGGAGAAAGGTTGGGAACCACTGGATTAGACAACAGTGCCCCCGGCTGGAAATCCTTTTAAAGTGTTTGAAATAAACAAACAACTGACAGCTACACAGGTTTTGAAGTTTAATGTATTTTGACTGTAAAAACAAAGAATTTATATGATCCAGATACCCAGCTTTATGAATGACACGTGTTACCCTCTTTTGCAATACTGATAGTGGGTGTGGTGCATTTTTTTATAATTGTTTCCCCAAAGCTCTATACAGTAAGAGAAATATGGCAGAACTAAACACTTCACAAGGATAAACCAATCAAATGTGTTTCGCTGAAGACTCGAGAAGTATCACACCACCGCTTCAGATGTGATGTCACTTTTATTCATCAAGCAAAGCCAACAATACAGTAAGAAAAAAGCTGTTTCACATTCAAACATTTCTTTTCACCCGAAACCAGATGGATCCCTAATGTCAGATCACTCTGCTCATCCGACGTGCGCAGACACGATCAGCGGGTGGTTTTTTTTAAAAATAAGAAATGCCGTTTTAAAACTGAACAGACTCATTTAAATTCCAGTCACACCAATTCCTCCAATCTCACCTAAGGGTGTTGTAACAGGTTTTCACACGAGCACATCTGGACGCTAAATAGAAGAAAAACAAACATAAAATCAACTATTTCTTAACGTAAATCTCATCTTTAAAAACAGGAAACAAAAAGGCACACGAAACTCTGAAAAGGCAGTTAAAAAGGAAGCAGGAAGTATTTTTAACATTGTCCGACTCATAATAAACCAGAAGCGTTGGATTATAGACACACAAACTGGCCCACATCGTTTTAATCGGCGGTCCTACAAAAGTCATGTAACACGCGTAAGAAGCCTCCTCGCACAAGTTTGGATGTGATAAACAAATCAGACGTACGCGTGATTATCAGAACAGAGAAGATGTAGCAACATGTGCGATGATGCATAGCTAAGAACTGTATATACACATTATGGGAATCACTGTTCCCGATAATAAAACCATCCACTCCTACAGTGAAATATGGAGGGCACTGCCTCCGATACGGACACACACTGGTAGGCAAAAACTACCTTCTTATTTGCGCATTATGGGAAAACACTGCTCCCGATAATGCTGTCAGAACGAGAAGTGTACGTGTGTCGGCAGGTCGGTACCGAGCACACATCCTGGAGGGATTCCTGAGCCGGGTTGAGTTCAGTAGAGCGGGAGAACACTGCTCAGTACCGGCCATCGGTCCACACGTACACTCCTTCAAGCAGATGCTGCTTTTGTCATTTCGACAGTATAACTGTCATAATTATGGAAGGCACTGCTCCCGATAATTATACATTGTAAAAAAAAAAGGTGATAAAAAGCCATTTATAGTGAACTCTGTCACTGATAAATAAATAACAATAAATAAACATATGGTTTGGGTTTCTGTGCTGCGTGTTTGGGACCGACTGCCTTGTGTTTGGGGAAAAGATGCACTCCGATGCCACGAGGTCAAGGATTCGGACTTTTCTTGGAAGGCTGATGAGGAGCTGAGCTTTTACAGCAGACGGTCCTGAACCTACGCTAAGGAAATATTTGGCCATTTGAGCACTGTAAGCATTTGTAGCATCCAATGCAAACCCTGTTTGGTTCTGACAAGAGGTTCGCAGCAGTAGACACCAGGACGAGTAAATTATAGTAAACAATTAGCAGGTTGTTAGCTTAGGACACTGCTATTTGAGTTTGCTGTATCTGCGCTGACAGCCTTTAGTTTTGTTATGACCTAAAGGAAAAAACTATTCTCTATGTTGAGCTCATTCAGGAAATAAATTAAGTAGTACTGTCAAGATGAGTATTTCAGGGCAATCATTATTAGCACCAAAGTGTTTGAAATATTTGCATTTAGATACCCCGTGTTTGGTTTTTCATGTGAATGTTTAAAGTTAGCAGGCTCTCGCGGTAATGGCAGCCATGTGGGTTTCACACAGGCTTCTGGTAGGACTCTCACGCCACTTTAGATTTCATTATCCAGGGACCAGATGTCCCCTGCTAGCGAGTTGGCGCAGCCCTGAAGGGTCCAGGTCGCCAGGGCGAACTGGTGGCGGAACAGGTCAGCGTCCGCCTCGGGGTTGTCGGCCTTGAGAGCATCAAGGTGGTTAGAGAGAGCTTGGAGGGTGTGTGATCCTGTGCCCATCAGGATGTGACGAAAAGGAATCTCTCTGGGAGAAATGTAGGGAGACAGGAAGTTCCGTTCCACCTGCCGCACACAGGAAGAGAACTCAGACCTACTCAGGTACATGACCGTGAATCGCTAATCTGCTGTAGAGTTTATACAATGCAAAAAGGAACCGGACTAAACCTGGACCGTCGGTCCCGATCTGAGTTTTACAGAACTTACCGACATGATGCGGTCGTTGATGATGCGACATGTCTCAATGTCGTCCAGGTTACTGTTCTGAACGTCTGTTTCCAGGCTGCGAGAGGCACGGCCGTAGGAACCTGAGGCGGAGATCAGCCACTGTACGGTCAGGGCCTTGGGCAACATCTGGGGCTGCATCTGGAGGAACACACAACAACGCAGCTTTGATTAAAAAAATACAAAAATTCTACACCCTAGACGCAATTTTGAGCTAAAACAAGATCAAATAATGTTTGGACTTTGTTCAAAAGCCGATTGTGTCCGGGACCATTAACCAACAGCTGGATTAGACTAGAAAACGTGGCAACACATGCGAGTCTGGTCGTATTAATGAGACATTAAGACAAATATTAGTGCGGCATGTGTGTATGAGTCTGCATCTTTTGACACCGTTGGAGGACAGAAAATCAACAAAACATTAAGTTATTTTGTAATTGTTGGATCGGTTTAGTAACAAACGGCTAAAAGTGACACTCATGCATGAAAATAAACTTGCAGGTGCAACTGTAGACAGAATGGGTGAAAAACAACATTATTGGTCATTAATGAAACATTTAACAGATGAAAGAGCTCGACTCACCCTTTGAACAGCCTTTATCTTTGCATTGATCTTCGCCACATTAAAGCGGATGACCTTGTCGTACTTCCTCAGGTTCATCTGCAGCAGATGGTCATGGACCAGCCTCAGCGCTATAGAACCTGCAAACCGACCGGCGGCTGCAGCCAGCTGAGGAACCTGACTGGACGTAGCAGCGTTCAGTTTCTCTTGGGTGTCCAACAACGTCCCCAAGTATTGGTAGCTCTGGGGGGAAAACAAAGAACAATCTTCAGACCGATCAGTAAATAAATATTTTACGTGGAGAATGAACGACGTACCGATCTGCCTGAGGTGAATCGGAATGACATTGAGGGAATTCCAGAAAAGGCAAGGAAAGGATAGGCAGTGTTATCCATCTGCATTGGCTCCAAACTGTAACAGAAAAGAATAAAGCCCCAAAGAATGAACTAAACATGTCAGATGTGGCTCCAGAAGTACGAAGACAAGTTTGTGACCGTTTCATTTCAGACTCACATATTTGACTCCCAGTCGCTTTTTGCAAATTGAGAAGAAAGAGACTTATCCTCGTAGTAAACCTGCAAAATAATTTGCACATTTGTCTCACGCCGATAAAAAGGGATCAATAAGACGAAACTTTTACTCAGGATTTACCTCATTCAAGGCTTTTTCAATCAGTGTGTGCATCAAAGGACTGGCTGCTACTTTAAATCCATTCCGACCTGAAAATAAATAACTTATTTGTAAAATTATACAACGTGATGTTAATATTTCATGCTTTCTAGATGCTGAACTGAATCTGAAGCTGGTGTAAAACCGTCACAGTGAGTACCTGTCACAATGCCGTCCAGGTTGATGTAGGAGAAAGCTTTCATACCCAGAGAAGATAAATATCCCTACGATAGAAAACAACACATCAGTAACTCTTAAAGTCTGCTTTGGAGTTCTACAGGTGGTCACTGAGAAAAGGTCCAACTTTAAAGATTCTAACCTCCAACCACTCGGTGGCGCCAACGCTTCCGTATTCTCCTGCACTCCAGCTGGCAAACACGATGCTCCTCCTTGGCTTAAACCCATCTGTCAAACAGTGAGAAGGTGTTTGTTTCCATGAAAACAAGAAGTTGCTTAACATTTTGTTCCATCTGACATTAAACCCAGCCCATGCGTACCATGCTCCACCATGTCTGAGACCGAACGCGCCAGTTCCACCAGGACGCTGGTACCAACGGTTGATGCAGCGAAGCCTGGACCCCACGCGTCCCTCTGGGCACCGATAACCACGTATCGGTCTGAACCCAGGGAGAAGATGCCATCATTCACACTGAACTCAGCAAACTCTTGTCTCTCTTGTTAAATTAGAACTTCATTCTGATTCTGATTCATTTTACCTGCATCCACTAAACCTTTGACGACCCCAAACACGTTGTTGATCTTCTTCTCAGTTAGAAAGTTGTTGACCTCCACACTGATCGTGTCATTCTCATTTCCCAATTTGTGGAAACCTTCCCATCCTTCAGGAAGACTCTGACCACCAAGCTTCCTGTCACAAGCAGACCGACAACGATAACGCTACACAACTGATTCTGAAATCAGAGAGCAGGACAAACGTTTGATTAGAGCTTTACCACAGAATTTTGGTTGCCATGGCGCTGGTGATGGTCTGAGCCGGGATTTTTGGCAGCCCTGAAGACTCCACAGGAGGGAACTGGGTGTGATTGAAGGAGGGAAAGCCTGGGGTGTAGGGATCACCAGAACCCAGGTGGACCTGTAGGCGACCCACAGAACAACATTGTTGAGAGCTTTGATTTAACAGCGGCTTTTGAATTGTTTTATTTCAATTTTATTTTTGCCGATCGATCCAGTCCATGAACTTCTCACCCCCCCCATTTTATTCCAGTCATGAACTCTGAACCGTAACCTGCCCAATACCATTTTAGCTATAAGTACAGTGGGATGTGAAAGTTTGGGCAGCCCTCTTCATCTGCAATATTCCTGTATAAATTCCAGTTAAATACATCTTATAGGAGACACACACAGTGATGTTTGAGAAGTGGAACAAAGTTGATAGGACTTATAGAAAGTGTGCAATAATTGTTTAAACTAAATCAGGCAGGTGAATAAATTTGGGCACCAAAAATATACTCAATATTTAGTACAGTAATCCCTCGCTACTTTGCGGTTCGTTCATCGCAGATTCGCTGCTTCGCGGATTTTTTCTTTGGAGCATTTTTCAGTGGGAATTCGCAGATTTGCGGTATTTTTCACTGATTCGCGGTATTTTTCTATGCGAAATATCAAGAAATTCTTGTTTTTTTTCATCAATTTCATCATAAAATGCACTTTTTGTAATAAAACTCAAAAAACCAAGTAAAAAAAATTTTTTTTCTTGAGTTTTACCCCCAAAAAGAGAATGTGATCATACGATTTTTCAATAGGGAGCGTGGTTTCACAGACGCGGAAGTGATAGCGTCGGTGAAACGCCGGCTGCTCTAGGAAACCCCCGAGCGTTCGAGCGTCAACCAAGTGACACGGAAATGCCGGGCTTTCCAGAAGTAAGTAAGATAACTTACTATGAGTTGATAGTTCGTTGGATTGATCGGTAGGTTGGAAACTCTGATCATGAATCTGAAGAAACGATGACTGAGTGGTGAGCTGGAAAGGCGACTTCCGTTTATAGCCGCGGTTTGTGACGTAGGTGCGACGTGGAGGGAATCCCCGCGAGGGGCATGCTGGGAGTCCCTACTTCGCGGATTTTCACCTATCGCGGCCAGGTCTGGAACGCATCTGCCGCGATAAACGAGGGATTACTGTAGATCCTCTTTTTGCAGAAACAACAGCCTCTAAACACTTCCTATAGCTTCTAATGAGAGTCTGGATTCTGGTAGAAGGTGTTTTGGACCATTCTTCTTTACAACACATCGGTAGTTCATTCAGGTTTGATGCTGGACATCAAGCAGCTCGGTTTGTGCTGTGGGTGGAGAAAAGGCTTCCTCTGCGTCACTCTCACGTGCAGCATCTCCTTGTGTAAAGTGCACTGGATAGTTGAACGATGCACAGGGACTCCATCTGCAGTAAGATGATGTTGTAGGTCTTTGGTGCTGGTCTGTGGGTTGACTCTGACTATTCTCACCACTCTTCTTTTGTTTATCTGAGATTTTTCTTGATCTGCCACTTTGAGTCGTAACTTGAACCACGCCTGTGGTCTTCCATTTCTTTAATATGTTCCTAACTGTGGAAACAGACAGCTGAAATCTCTGAGACAGATTTCTGTTCCTTCCCTCAAACCATGATGGTGAACAATCTTTGTTTTCAGCTCATGTGAGAGCTGTTCTGTGTAATACATTTTTCCACCTCTAGATGGTGCCCTCTGAGAAGAAACTCCAGATTTCTGCTATAACCCTTTTAAGCATCGACATACAATGGGGCAAAAAAGTATTTAGTCAGCCACCGATTGTGCAAGGTCAGTAATTTACATCATAGGTACACTTCAACTGTGAGAGCCAGAATGTGAAAAAAAATCCATGAATTCACATGGCAGGATTTTTAAAGAATTTATTTGTAAATCAGGGTGGAAAATAAGTATTTGGTCACTTCAAACAAGGAAAATCTCTGGCTCTCACAGACCTGTAACGTCTTCTTTAAGAAGCTTTTCTGTCCTCCACTCGTTACCTGCATTAATGGCACCTGTTTGAACTCATTATCTGTATAAAAGACACCTGTCCACAGCCTCAAACAGTCAGACTCCAAACTCCACTATGGCCAAGACCAAAGAGCTTTTGAAGGACACCGGGAAAAGAATTGTAGACCTGCACCAGACTGGGAAGAGTGAATCTACAACAGGCAAGCAGCTTGGTGTGAAAAAATCAACTGTGGGAGCAATTATCAGAAAATGGAAGACATACAAGACCACTGATAATCTCCCTCAATCTGGGGCTCCACTCAAGATCTCATCCCGTGGGGTCAAAATGATCATGAGAACGGTGAGCAAGAATCCCAGAACCACACGGGGGGACCTGGTGAATGACCTGCAGAGAGCTGGGACCACAGTAACACAGGTCACCATCAGTAACACACTACAACGGCAGGGAATCAAATCCTGCAGTGCCAGACGTGTTCCGCTGCTGAAGCCAGTGCATGTCCAGGCCCGTCTGAAGTTTGCCAGAGAGCACATGGATGATACAGCAGAGGATTGGGAGAATGTCATGTGGTCAGATGAAACCAAAGTAGAACTTTTTGGTATAAACTCAACTCGTCGTGTCTGGAGGAAGAAGAATACTGAGTTGCATCCCAAGAACACTATACCTACTGTGAAGCATGGGGGTGGGAACATCATGCTTTGGGGCTGTTTTTCTGCTAAGGGGACAGGACGACTGATCCGTGTTAAGGAAAGAATGAATGGGGCCATGTATCGTGAGATTCTGAGCCAAAACCTCCTTTCATCAGTGAGAGATTTGAAGATGAAACGTGGCTGGGTCTTCTAACACGACAATGATCACAAACACACCGCCCGGGCAACAAAGGAGTGGCTCCGTAAGAAGCATTTGAAAATCCTGGAGTGGCCTAGCCGGTCTCCAAACCTCAACCCCATAGAAAATCTGTGGAGGGAGTTGAAAGTCCGTGTTGCTCGGCGACAACCCCAAAACATCACTGCTCTCGAGAAGATCTGCATGGAGGAATGGGCCAAAATACCAGCTACTGTGTGTGCAAACCTGGTAAAGACCTATAGTAATCATTTGACCTCTGTTATTGCCAACAAAGGTTATGTTACAAAGTATTGAGTTGAATTTGTTATTGACCAAATACTTATTTTCCACCCTGATTTACAAATAAATTCTTTAAAAATCCTGCCATGTGAATTCATGAATTATTTTTCACTTTCTGTCTCTCACAGTTGAAGTGTATCTATGATGAAAATTACTGACCTCTGTCATTATTTTAAGTGGGAGAACTTGCACAATCGGTGGCTGACTAAATACTTTTTTGCCCCACTGTACATATATGGACAATGGGTTTCCATAGACTCCAAAAACACGTTTTTGAGGCCAAATGGGAGGTGGCCACCACCGCCATTTTGACCGTGTCACAGGTTCCGTCAAGCCCAGACAATTCCACAAAAGGGAAGAGGTGGAGCTGAGGGTGTGGCTGTAAGGCTGGGATCAACTGACGACACCCGGTCGAACTAGCTACAAGCTAACCTGAAGCTAACCCAAAGCTAAAGCGGAGGTGGGAGCTAAGCTAACGGAGGTAGCAACCTAGCTACAACCGGAGTTAACTGTGCACAACACCAGAGCTTCTGAGTCAGAGATACGCCGGGCTGACCGCTGGGTAAAACCGGGTGGAACACAGAGGTCTCCGACAGAAGCCGCGATCAGACAGATGCGCCGAGCTGCGGGGAGGGGAGAACGGGTGGAAAACATCGGTCTCCCGAGAGCTCCACAAGCCGATAGTTGGAACCCAGCTCCACCAACATGTTATATTTCAACCCATTTTCTAAAGTGCAGCATTATGTTAAATGCACTGGGTTTTACCCTATTACATTTAAATTTCATGGTTAAACAGTACATGTTAAAATCTAAGCTCAGCTCGGCAGTGACCTAAAATACATAAATATAATTTTACTTACTGGATAAAATGATGTGGAGACTCCTTGAACGCTCTATTAGTGCAATTAATGCCACAGCAAGTCATTTTGTCCAACAACTGCACAAAAAATATCCTAAAAGAACCCACAGACCCTATAACTACAACTGGGCCAAATTTTACATTAGCGTGGTGGGACCTGTTAATATTGTTGGGTACAAATCTGTAAAAGACATGGAATGAAAAATAAACAGCGCTTCGGAAAGGTGAGGAGTGAGCTTGTCTATAAAGGGCAAGTCATTTTAACATTTAATCACCAATCTGACCTGTAATTCTGTAACTCCAATTTTTACAGTAAGTTGCTACAAGATAAACAGAAAATAAAGTATTTGTGTTTTCCTTTTTCTGCTGACCTGAAAAAAAATTCCGATCTGTGACTGAAAACCATGATCCGATCCAAACCGTGAGATTTTGACCTGTCGCACCTTTAAGCGCCAAAGTTGCAAAACTGCGACACACATCGTTGCCAAGTTTCATCCTTAAAAAACTCTGGCTCTTAAAGGGTTTTGAAGACCTGACGATTATATTGAGCTCAACCAAACTTTACTGTGCTTTTTTAAAAAATACGGAGCAATGATGGTAGTAGAGTGAAGAGCTGCCTCGTAACTCGAGGGTTGTAGCTCGCACCCTACTCAGCCTGTCGCAGTCGTTGTGTCCTTGGGCAAGACACTTCATCCTTTAGGCATTTAAGATGCTCATGAACCTACACACCAGTAGTTTGCCCCACTCACATGTCCATAGAGGTCCGTGGTCTCTCCAATAGAGTAATCAGCGGGGTCGGGGTAGATCAACACGGCCGAGGCGTTCACTTTAGCAGCATTGGCCACCTGTAAACAGCAGGTGGTCGAACTACATCAACTCAGAACAAAAATGCTACTTTCTAAACTAAATTCATCTGCTTTTAGAAAAATACTTCATGTCAATTTGACAAAGAACTTTACATTCAGTTTGTTCCTGTTTCTAAAGCACTGACCTTCTCAGCAAAGCTGATCTTTCCAGCTCTGACCAGCATGACTCTGCCGTTCATGTTGATGTTCTTGTCCCTCAGTAACCTAAAGTCACTCTCCTGTCCATAACAAGCGTACAGCGCTGCACCCTGAACACACAACAAGAACTCGGTTGACGGCTCTTTGTTTCACTTCTTCCATTTTCCTCCCAGTAGCTGAATCTGGGACGAACCTTCACTGATCCGTTGCCGCTGTAAGACAAGAAGCCCTTCGGACGCTCCTCTGGATCGTTCTTGTAGATGATTCTATTAGAGCCAGATGCTGGAGGGTCCTGAACCTTAACAAAGTGCTCATCATTCCAGGTGTTCATGCCATAGTCTTTAAACCTCTGGAGCACCTTGTTCCCTAGATAGTCATCTTCAGGAGAACCAGCTCGGTGGCTCGGTTTAGAAAACTCACTGGAACAGAACATCAAGAACAGTTTTACCTCTGCAGAGTGAAACTAAAACAAAGAGATACGAAGAGATTAGGAGGACGTTATGTTCACCTGAAGGCCGTTTCTATTTTGGCAGCTGTGAGTCTTTGGTTGAGGAGACTTTTGACTTTGTCCCAGTCCATCAGAGGAGCAGCACCGGTCTCAGGGGCAACGGCTCGTTCAAAGGGAAGAACAGAAGCAGAGCAGACAGGAGACGTCTCTTTTCTCCGATGAGCCGTGTAGCCAACCAAGAACCCTGGAAGAATCAGTGGTCTCTACTTAGCAGGAGACACAAAGGCTATAATGCTTCATGGTGAGTGGAGCTGGGAGATAAATGGTCACATGAGAACACGTCGATATAAACCTTAAACGCAAAGAACCGATGAGCAGCCAATGATAGGAGTTGCGTCACGTTGGACCAATCGTGTTTCTGGAATACAGCCAGCCTCTACATTAGCAGCCGGATGTGCAGCGCGTCTAACAACTAACGTCTGCGCAGCTGTAGCCTCTGCAGGTAGGACATCCTCAAAAGAGAAAGATGGAGGGCACAGCGAACGATCCATCAAAACTATTCAGTCATGTGGATGAAGTTTGTGGGGTTTACCCAGATTGTTGGTGAAGTTATGAGTAAACCAAGTAAACTAAAAACTGCTTATTTCTCACCAACAACACTATTTAGCTAGCATACCTAATTGTTACAGTTATGTAGGTGTTTAGGTAGAGAAGGTAAGATAGCGTTATGTTCCTTGTGTCCAGTGCTGCACCATTTTCTACAACCACCAGGAGAAGGAGAAGAGAGGAGTCCTGTTTACAGACCTGCGGTAACTCGTGGGCTGCTGGTAACCACCTTTTACTCACCAATGATGAAGATGAGAAGGGTAACGGCTGCCATGAAGCAGAGGCTCTTTGGTGTGCGCTTCAGTTTCTGAACCATGTAGGGTTTTCCGTTAGAGTTGTGACTGAGGTGGTCTCCCACGCCGTTTCCCCCAACCTCCTCATCCACCTCAGAGGACAGCTTCATCTCCACCTGGCTGTTGTCTCCCTCCATGTTCTGGGTCAAGTTGAATCGGGTGTAGGAGTGAGGCTCCCCATTAAACTATGGAACAAAGTAGGAAGCACAACAGTGACCAAACACAGACAGTGTTACAGATAAAGAGCTAAAGTTGGGTGCTGCAGTAGCCAGGCCTCATCTGCATCATATGCGAGTGCTAGAAAAAAGTTGCATCTGTGTTTTAAAGGGACTTTACGGAGTTTTGAATTTTTATGCTCGTGATTGCCCCCTCAGGCCAAAAGCGTAACACGAGGCGCGCATGCTGTACGTGCACACTCCTTAACGAAAATAACAGCTGAGACAGTCCCGTGTGTGTGTGTGTGTGTGTGTGTGTGTGTGTGTGTGTGTGTGTGTGTGTGTGTGTGTGTGTGTGTGTGTGTGTGTGTGTGTGTGTGTGTGTGTGTGTGTGCGTGCGTGTGTGTGTGTGTGTGTGTGTGTGTGTGGCCCGAAGGACAGAGGACAGGATAACATGCAGCTAATTAATTAAATAATGTGGTTCTGTACCTTTCTCTTCAGCACAGCCGACAAAGGTTTATGATGGGTCAGTCCTCCTGCATGCTCAGATCATTCCCTTCCCTTGCTTGAAAAATTGTTCCAAAATGAAAGTTGAACCCACATCTTTTTTATCTGTGAATTCAATGCCGTTCGGCGAGTCTCAAATAAAAATTTGGGCATCTTACTGTAAAAAATATACCATTAATGTAAAAAAGAAACTCTAAATAAACTATGTTCACATCCAGAATCAAACCCAGGCCTTCTGCATGAAATTCTGATGTCTTACTAGGTGAGCTAGCGCCAGTGACGTCCTTTGTATCTGTAACATTTATATCCTTGATGACAGCTGAAACAACGTCAAACCAAAGAACGGTTCGGAGTGAAAATGGCTATTTTGTTGCTAATTTGCAGGAAATATCTAGAAGAAAGTTCTACAGAAAGTAGCTAAGGGTCCTCAGAAATGTAGCTAGCTTTGTCACTAGGCGTTAGGAACAGCGACAAAGTGGCACTGCCTCTCTCTCTGCTGCTAAAGCTACGGATAGCAAATGCTACGGGCGATGCCTGAGCGTGAACGCGCATGAAGCAGCCTGCTCGACCCGAGCATCTCTCTTTTTCTGTGATTTTACAGAAACTGGCAATCACAGTAAAAATGCCAGGGCTCATTCTACAGGACCAGGGCATTGCAGGAGAATGTATGAAGAAGATATTTATTATTTCTATACATGTTTTGGCCGTCAAACTTCCATAATGCCCCTTTAAAATGTATTAAGCTCATCTTTTATGTGAAATATTGAGTATTTGAAGCTCAGGATGTGGCTGTGACATTAGAGAACTTACAATTTTGGATATCGTCGACCTTGCTTGGTCCATGGTTTCCTCTTTAGGACTCTAAAGGAGAAAAACACAAAAAGTAAGATAAAGGTTGTGTTTTAGCCACAAGTCGTTTAGAAACATGAAGAACTTCATTTGTAAGGGGAGGAGGCGCCCAGCAGGTGCAGTATAATTGTTTCAATGTGTAACATGTTCCTGCTGAATTGTGGGAAGTGCAGAGTCCAAGAAAACATGTCACACCTCTTGTCAAAACATCTACAGGGTTTCCTATGCTGCTAAATTGAGAATTAAGCAAGTTTCCAGTCACAAAAGCCCACTGTGGTGCACAGGCGCCATGTGAACTCGATCACCAGCAGAGCGTAAATAAACCTGCTTCTCAGAAGCCTCGGTGAAACAAATCACGCCAAACAAAGCAAGATCTCGGTTTTACAGGAGAACAAGGGTGGAAATCTGAGTCTTTGTATAAATGTTCTCTAATACTTCCAACCACAGCAGCTGGAAGGAGAGCCCAGCATCTGACCAGCCCCAGAGGCAGCCAGCTCCACTTTAGGGACGTGGAAACTTAACAAATGTTCTCTTTTAGACGTCGTCCTTTTAGAAGTTCATCTGAACACAGAAATATAAGACAAATGGTTTTCTGAACATTTGTGGCCTTCAAGCGAGTTTCTTTAGACTGGAGCGACTCAAAAAGTCTAAGCAAGTCTTATCAAACGTAAAACATCCCCTTTGTTTAGGGAATATCTGCATGTGACTCCAGAGAAGCATTCGTCACACTTTAGCTGTGGAAAACTGAACTCTGCTGCAGAAATCAGGTTGGAAAGACGGCCCAACTTGGGTTTCTGCTAAAAGCTTGGTGGTTTTGGTTAAACGAAGACGCTCAACGTGCTTCCCGTTGGATTTATCGACATTTATTACCAAGAGACGGTGAAACCACGCTTCTAACAGTTTTTCTGACCTAACCCTTACCCAGTAAAGGTAACCGATCTTTACAATGGGCAGACATTTTAACAACCTTACATACCGAACATACCAGACTTTGGCCGAGCTAAAGCTCTAATCAGATTAGAAATTCTCTCTTCGATGTAGAAATTGATAAATAGCTAGGAATTTGCTGAAAATTGACCAATCCCATTCATTTCAATGGGAAATTTTTCGCAGAAAAAGCTTAATAACTCGAAAAAATTTTAAAGATATCAATGCCAAAGTAATAGCCGGGAAGAGCTTAACGAGCTGAACGTTTTGATATAAAATTGTTGAAAAAGCCAGCTAAATCAAAATCCTAAAAACAGAATGTTTCAATAAATGTTCAACAAACATCCCAACGACAGTCAAAGACTGTTATTAACTTTAAAAAATACCCAAATCTCACGACTGAGACGTAAGGCCCGCTGAGAGGCTTTTACCTTGGCGGGGGACACGCGTGTTCGAGACAGATAGTGAGTCCCACCCTTGAAGGGTGGACACCCAGCTCCCCTGAACTCTGACAGGAGATTATGTTTGGATTTACTGAACTCGCAGTCAAGGCTTTAAAGTAAAAATGCACCGAGCTGCTCTCACCCCTTATCAAGCCACACGGAGGGACTGGAACAACAATAAGCTGCTGAAGGACATCAAACTGGGAACTTTCATGTTGGACGGGTTCAAGACAAAAAATAATTATACGACTGTAGGCCCCCCCAAAAAACAGTCCTGGCGTAAAACTACGAAATATGAACAAAACAGAAGAGAAAAAACTGATAATACTGCACTAAACAGCTGACAATTCATTAAATGTAACGCCGCTCTTCATTCACCTGGTCTGTGTTAAAAGAACATTTTTATGGTCACTACAAAAACATCGATCCCTTCCGAGATCCTCTGTGCATAATCCCGTCACCGCCCGGTCGGAGCACCACAGCAAAGAACGATGACGTGAAAAAGGCAAAAAGAAGGCTGGAGCACTCAAAGTGACTCAATATTTAAGAGGTTCAAGCACAAAAAAAGAGACCCACTTGTGTCTTCGTGTGAGTACTCTGACGAAGACACGAGCGCCTGTTACATATTTTGTCACTTTGAGTGCTCCAGCTTTCTTTTTTGCCTTTTTCGTGCCCCACTGTGACTTCAGCAAACAGCATTTTTAACTGATGAAGTTATCTCTGACCTCTTTTAACAAGTTAAAGATTCAGCTCATTTACAGCCAGAACCCACTTCTTCCTGCTCATCTAAGAATTCCTGGTAAAAACGAAACCCAGGTGGATTTTCTGGAGAGAATAATTCAAGTACAGCCAGCCAGAGGCTGGAAAAGCACCAGCCGGTGACGATGGCTGCTGTAAAACACGACGACGTTTCCTATTATTCATGAACTTCCTTTACAAGCTGTAGGAAGATGTCCCTGTTGTATTTGCCTGATTGAGCCTCCCAGGATGAGAATATTGTTCAAAAGAATTTTATATAAAAACTGTGCAAGATGGACATAAGAAATAAATAGGTGGACAGTTCTCACAGACGTATGGCAGCAGAACCCTCGATGGTGCTCCGTTTTAGCCGAGTGGAAGGTGAAGTGAGAAAGGCAAGGACTAGAGAGGATATGAGATATGACACAGGGACATGTGGGGGCCTGGGGGGGTAGGAGCATGGGGGTAGAGGGAGCATGGGGTGGGGTGGGGTGGGGAGCAGTGGGGAATCATGTGAGAGTCACACTGGGAAAAAGGCTTAAACCCTGGGAAAGTAACACCGCACCATGGGAAACAAATCCTCTCAGCTGGGACAAACCTAGCAGCCTTGTCCTCTGGGACAGACATGAGGGTCAGTTACAGGTTCAATGTCTCAGGTGTCTCAGGTGTCAGCACTGAGTCCATATTTTAGACCCCAGCCGCATTTCAAAGATAGTTTCTATTTTGACATCAACATAGAATCATTGACCAAATTGGAAAAGGTTTCACCTTGACTATTTCTTTGAGTGTATCACAGGGTCACAGTGTACCCTTTGCATGATCTCCAAGAAGAGCGTCAGCTGGTTTGGCCTGTTTAAAACCAACCGGAAGTCTGGTGGATCTTATGTTTACGCTGCAGAGACGGTTCAGCTCCGAGGTCCATACCTGAGAAGCCCATCTCCGAGCAGGAAATGATGAACGTGACTGCCGGCTCCCCTCGTTATGGCGTCTCCCATGCTTCTCTGATAGCGTGACGGTCCGCATCACCATCACGTTCACCGCGACATAAGCGCGTTACTAACGCGTCTTAGATCAAAGTGACAGGTGGCCGAGCGCCACCTTCTCTGCTAATGGCATGCTTATCAATGAGAATAACGTGTCATTGTTGGGAACAGACTTAACGTAATTATGTTTAATTGTACAAATAATATTTATTACAGTGTAATAATTCGGAAAAACCACGAACGTCTGAACTAATACTAGTGTAGCCGACATTAGCACAGATGCTAGCAAGGCTTAGGTATAATTTTCTGCATACTCACCGTCACGTTAGTACAGCGCTGCCCTGACAGCTTCTTATGCTACGGTTATTGACCGAGAAGTCTCCTTTTACTCCCGTTCTTCCAACCAGCCGGCTCGGTGCCCTTGAGCCGCTCAGCCACGCTGCTTCCACCCTTTATTTCATTGATGGCAACGGATTGGATGACAAGAACCCGCGTACGAGTCACGTGAACATCGCGAGATCCTAAAATCGCGCTGATCCAGTTCATGAATGCGCCCCGCCCCTTTTTACCACAGAAAAAGGAACCTTTGTGAATGAAGACTTTTCTGTTTGTGTGTCGTTCCAGATCTGACAGGATAACTGACAAAACGAATAACAATGAATAAAATTTAACGATTCTGTTATCAAAGGTGAAACAAGAGCTGTTGTCTTTATGAAGGACATCTTTTTAAAACTGCTACCAACAGTCTGAAATATGTAGCAGATGACACCATCATAAATGTTTCTTTACAACGATTATAAAATCCACTGAAGTTTATTTTGTGCTTTCTATTCAAAGTAGCAAATAAACAAAAGCAATAAATATTCTATTCAATACAAGTTTATTTATATAGCGTCAAGCCACGACAAGAGTTGTCTCAAGGCGCTTCACACAGTAAACTTTCCAATACAGGTCAGTTCATTAAGCCAATCGGTAAAAAGTTCCCTATATAAGGAACCCAGCAGGTTGCATCGAGTCACTGACTAGTGTCAGAGTCTTTACAGCAAGCAAGCATGTAGCGACAGTGGAGAGCAAAACTCCCTTTTAACAGGAAGAAACTTCCAGAGGACCCTGGATCAGTATAAGCAGCCATCCATCATGACTCACTGGGGATCGAGAAGACAGAGCACACATGCATGCACACACACGCACGTGCGCACACACACACACACACACACACATAAACATTAAATATGAAATATGTTTGTTAATAACAGAGGAACCAGTAGAGATGGCTCGGGCATCTGGTCAGGATGCCTCCTGGACACCTCCCTGTTGAGGTTTTCCAGGCACGTCCAACTGGGAGGAGACCTAAAGGTAGACCCAGGACACACTGGAGGGACTGTCTCTCACCTGGCCAGGGAACACTTTGGGATTCCCCCAGAGGAGCTTGCCCAAGCGGCTGGGGAGAGGAAAGTCTGGGCCTCTCGCCTTAGGCTACTGCCCTCGCGACCCGACTCCGGATAAGCGGATGAAAATGGATGGATGGATGTTAATAACAAGTGTAGAGGCATGCCTTTTGTACTAAACAAGTGTGCACAAATATACTATTTAAAATAAGTTTGTGATCCAGACGGGCTGAATGTAAAAGACCAAAAAACACATTAATGAATGTGTGTCAATAATCATTTAGGATCCACGGAAAACACAGCATTACAAAAGCCTTTCTTTAATCATAATGACTATTTTTACTTAAGCTACTTTAAATGCTAGCTTTTTGTCAATACCAAAGTCAAACCACAAATTAAGGACTTTCAGAATGACAACACGGTATTATCTGTTTTACTTCTGCAGGACAGAGGATACATCCTGCTTTTGATCTTGTGCTTGCTGCCCTGCTTTAGAACATGCTTTTGTTTGTTGTTAGCAAATGCTGCATTTTCTGGTTTTTTATTAAATCTTTTGGAAATGACAGCCTTCTTGGACAGCTGTCTCTTGAAAAAAAGATCTTGATCTCATTGAGATGTTTTAATGGTTAAAAAAGGATAAAAGTATTGTTAACCCTTTGATGCATAATGGTCACTACAGTGGACAGGTACTCAAAATTGTTATTTATTTGTTTTTGCTATTAAGCACAGCTGTTGAAGACTTTATTGCATTTGAGCCCCTCCATTTGGACTTCAGTAAGCCAAGCCAACATTTTTCATGCCCAGAATGCACGCTGTCCACTGAGGTGGACATGTAATAAATTATTTGTAAATTATAAAATTTTACAAAAAATATTTTTTGAAATTTGTTTAATTCACACCTAAAGACGAATAAATTTTTTACAAAAATCATGGTTGAAGATTTCATAATTCATGCATCAAAGGGTTAAAATAAATAGATTTTCAAAATAAAAGTATTCATATTTTTCTTTCCAAACTTTAGTTTACTTAAGGGCAGCCGATGACCCAGCTGAGCTCTGGATGACCTTGAATGATCCCCTGTGGGTCACAGACAGAATGGCGTCTTCCACAGACTGCTCACCTTGAAACGAGTCAACGTTATACCCTCTGCCAGTGCCTTTGCCTCTTTAGAGCCCACAGTTCACTCAATAATGTTTTTGCTTTCTGCAGCTGTGAAAACGTTAGTTCTGTCTGAGGAAAGAAGGTGCAGTGCAGAGGTTTTCAGTTTGACCTGACTCACACACACACATTTTTCCTGCTAAGCTGACTGGAAACTTCTTTCAGGCACGTAAGTCACATTGTGGCTGATGTACCGGACCTACAGTGGCAGGGTATTATATAATTCAGATTTAAAGTGCAAAGTTTAATCATCCTCCTGTCACCTCAGATCTGTTTGATTGGTGCCTGTGTGTCAGAAAAATACACACATATCCCGTTCCAGCAGTTGGAAAAGGGGAACAATATTGATAATGGTTCTGATTTGACTCTGTGATGTTTATTCAGACAGGGCAGCGGCATCAACAAACACTGCCATTGGGTGTTGGTGGTGGGCATGTTTAAAACCGTCGACAACGGTGGTAAATTATTAGTAGCTCTCGAAACAGAACACACAGTTTTCCATTATGTTTATTTACCGTCACATTTAAACACTGATTACTGAGCGAAAACAGCTCACGTGGGATTACGGGACTGTCCCTATAATCATACTTTTTGTATGACTTCAGTGATTATGTGTTTATACCCGATGCTAACATCTATTTAGTGGGAACCGGTGATTTGTTAATGCCCTTTCGGGCTTTCCTAAAGTTCCCACGGTGCAAGTTTCCACCACTTCTGTTTAGGAGGTTTAAATGAGTAGAGATGGTGCGACAGATTCAGCGTATTTATTGGGATCCACGAGATATAAACTTTTGAAATTCAGGTTTTTAGGAGGGCTGCGCAGTGACGCAGTGGTTAGAGCTGTTGCCTTGCAGCAAGAAGGCCCTGGGTTCGCTTCCCGGCCTGGGATCTTTCTGCATGGAGTTAGCGTGTTCTCCCTGTGCATGCGTGGGTTCTCTCCGGGTGCTCCGGCTTCCTCCCACAGTCCAAAAACATGACTGTTAGGTTGATTGGTCTGTCTAAATTGTCCTTAGGTGTGAGTGTGTGCATGATTGCTTGCCCTGTGTGTCTCTGTGTTGCCCCCCCCCCCACCACCACCACCACCACCCCCCACCACCATAGATCTGCTGCTAAACAAAACAGCTGATGTGATCATTCAGAGCACTCTGTGGTTTCACTTTCAAAGATTTAGAGCCCTGAAAGTTCAAGAGCCTTTTTATTGCAGGTGGTTGTGGTGGTGTTCTGTTGTTTAAGGCCACGAATGTACAGCTGGCTCAGGGGTGGGTTCATTTAGTTATTTCCCAGTGAAATCATTCTTCACATCTGAGGTTTGGCCTTCAAAATAAAATCCTAACTCAGGCTAAAACTTTATTTTATATAATAACTGTAACTCAAATCGCTGCAGCTGTTCTCCAGCTGTGCAAAAGTAGTGTAGTAAGTAGTTTCTCAAGAAGTTTAGTGCTGTTGTTTTAACGCTTGTGGGTTTTGGTGCAGTCATGAACAGTGGGCACATTGAGAGCTGCAAGGCCTAAGCTTCTTTTGCTCCACGGGAACACAAACCACTCAAGGGATAGGAATAGTGTATCAGAACCGTTGAATGAATCATACAAAAGTGGAAGTACATGAGGATTTGTTTGAGTTAAACTGATAGTTTCCATTTTGTGTTTTAAAGACATCTCTGTAGCGCCTGACTGAACATTTTAAACTTCCCTGCAAACAGCGAATGTCTCACGGACGCGCAGATCGTGTCTATGTTGAGTCCGTCGGCCCAGAGCACCTCTGTAGGACGTCTGAAGGAGGTCGTTGCGCAACACTTAAATCTTTGATGTGCTTATCCTTCGTAGACCAGGTACATGCTTACTGCATCTAAACGTTAGAAAAGGATCATTCAGTTTTATCAACAAGTTATCATGAAAAAAACTTTAATCTTTTTATCAGATCTTCGAGACCTCAGTTCGCTTTTTCCCCAATTTCATTTTCATATTTTGCAATCTAAATGTTAATTAAAGGGAAAAATGCTAAGCTAGCTTAAACTGATTTGAAAGGGCTTACATAAATGGTAAATAACCCTTATTTGAGCCGTCTAGAGTCCTAGAACCACCCAAGGTGCTTTACAACACAATCAGTCATTCATACCTTCACACACACATTCACACCTTGGTGGTGATGAGCTACAATGTAGCCACAGCTGCCTTGGGGCACACTGACAGAGGGTTGTCAGTCCCTCTGACCACCACCAACACGCAATGTGTCTTGCCCAAGGACACAACGGTAGAATTGATCCTACAACTCTCCAATTACTGGACAAGCCGCTCTACTTTCTGAGCTACTGAAGCAACTGTAATGTAGTTAGTAAAACATGCTTAACCTACTAGGGTTTCCTGGAGTAGATGTCCCACCAAGTTTCCAGGAGTCAAAGGTCAGCTTGTGAAATGCTCTGAAATACCCAGAAGGCTCATCCGCGACTCAACAGGCCTGCTTAGCGAGTTCAGTTGAAATAACATGGCTTAGGGTCACAATGTCGCTTTGTGAACATCATGGACTGTGCAGGTTTGACCTAAATCTAAGTTAACGTCTGCAGAAACTGCTCACGCCAGCTGTCAGCAGGGTGGTGAAAGGCCTGCTCTGTAACCCTGGAGTCACCGAGTCAACCATGA